CTCTCTCCTACGTGCAAAGCTCGCCACACATCATAGTAGTGGTGGTTGTGGAGTAGCTTTTGCATTGCTCTTCCCTGTCTCTTGAGCGGTCTCATTCTGTTGGCCGTGGTGTCTACTATTGGATCTAGCACATGGTTTAGGTCGCCACATATCCCTTGTTGCATGGTGGATAATTTCTTAAGTACCCTGTGGAGAAAGTTTCTTTGTTCCCTGTTGGGGGCATAGATATTTGTGATAGTGTACATAACGTCATTGAAGGTCCCCACTACTATGACATACCGTCCCTCTTTGTCTACCTCCACCTGCGTGAGGGTAAATGCCACATCTTTACTGATGAGTATGGAGGTGCTCGAGATTTGCTGGAGTGTGTGACGTGGTATTGGTGGGGGTAATCCTCTAGAAATATGGGTGAATATGCTTTGGTTTTAAGGTGTGTTTCTTGAAGACACACCACTTCAGGGTGTAACTGTTTTATGTCTTTGCAAAGCAGGCTCCGCTTTGCTGGGTGGTTAAGGCCCTTAGTGGTATGGGAGTATATTTTCATTTGGGGGTCATATCCTTGGTTTTTAAGTGGTTGTAGTGTTGTTGTGTCTACCAGTGGGAGAGCCACCCTTCCCAGCATGTTCTAACCGGATGGCAGCTCCCTTGTTTGTGCCATGTGTGGGCTGTAGCCCCCTATGTGTGTGGGTTCACCAAGTGTTGTGGTAATATGGAGAATTTCTTGTGTGTGATATAAACAAGTTGGAACACGGAAAATAAACATTTTAACTAAAACAATAGTAACTAAACAATGTTGCCTTGCACCCTTCATAGGCGCTTCGGGGTAGGAAGCGTCGTGCTTCCATGCCTGTCCGTAGTGGTCAATTGGCCTGAATGTGTAATGTTCATTCGCTGTTCACCCCTCCTTTCACAATGTCTATACTGTGTTTGACCGTGTGGCTAGGGTTTTTTGGTTGGGTGCCCCTGGGGTCCTTGAGTTAATCTGGGTCGGTGCTGAAGTATCTTAAGGTCAGTTCTATAGCTTGGCCGACCTGGTCCCCCATTTGGGGCGCCCCCCCCATTGTAGTATTGGTCCCAGTGTCTGCGTGGTACTTGCCACAGTTTTGTTGTTTTGCTGTGCTACTTATCTGTTCCTTGCAGCTTTCTTCCACTCGATATTTAGTTCAGCGGGTCTTGCCACTTTGGGTTGCATCTGAGGTGTTGGCAGGCCCCAGTCTCTTAGGGCTTGTATACG